TAGCCAAAGCCCAATATTGATACAGACTTTCTCATCCAATTGAGAGGAAACTTGTGATTCCCCTCTCCTTCAAATATGACTTCGGGATGGTTGATATTCCCTCACACCTAAAAAAATTTCTTTTCCAATTCATATAATTTGATGAATAAAGAGAAAGCAACCCTTTATTGAGTAAGGCACTTATGGAAATACAATTTCTCTTGTTGATCCATTTCGTCCCATAGAAGGAAAAGAAACAATCTATAATGGACGTGATTTCCAAACCACCATACATGATATTAAATCCCCTCATGAAAGCTCAATTATTGGGATGAAGTTGCGAGGGGGGAAATTTATTATTTTTAAAACATTGGCCTCAAATGGTTAAGGGGAATCTTCACCTCCAAATCCAATAACACACAGTTGTACACTAGAAAATATTCGCCTAATTGTAGCTTGGTACATGCCTTTTTGCCCCCCATATATAGTTTTAGGATAACATTTTCTTCTTTTCCAATGTAAGATATCACCAGATCTTCACAAAGTTCTTATATCACCACTTCGTTCAAGAATAAAGAGTTGGAATGAACTACTTAGTTATTGAAAAGATTCAAGTTTGCGTTTGTAGCCTCCATGTCTGATATCTCTGATTTCGTGTAAGAAAAGACCAAAATAACATATATGTTTCTCGACACGCTACTATCAAAATTGCTAGAGCTATCATCATAACTCCCAAACATTTCCATCTCAATGAATCTCCAATTCACTTTGCCATTTACTCGCGTAGAACTCTAAATACAAAGGCACCATAACTTTCCCTCGTTTCTTGAGTGTTAGGATTAATCACATTACCATGTGCAACATAATCCTTAAGGAACATTGTCTTCTAAGAAAGAAAATAAAAAGAAATATAAGAAATTGGGGAAAGGAATGCATGTGGTAATGCATTGGGTGTTAAGTAAAAATGAATTGATGAAAGAAATAAGATTGCAAAGTGAAATAGTTATTGTTTGAGTTAGCACAAGACAAGGAAGCGATAAAAATGGTATGCAACTGTCTTAGTATTTATAGGAAATGAATAGCCCTCTATCCTAGTAGTCATCATTAACATGTCAGAACATCAAGGGTTTTTCTTCCAAGCATGCAAATCGACAGAGGGTCCAGATTAAGTGGTCATTCCTAAGAAAAATTAATCATCATAACTTTAATGAGAAATTCAAAAGGTTTTTCACAAGTCTTTTGATCAATAGACACAGTCATCTTCAATATCAAGTCACTAATATTTAAGTAGTCTTAATTAGAGCTGGCAAAATGGGCTACCCGGCCCGTGACAGGCCCGGGCTTTGTGCAGGCCGGGCTAAAAAGCCCGAATTATAAACGGGCCCCAATTTAATTGACCAAGCCCGGCCCTTCACGGGCTACGGTTTTTTGGGCAGGCCCGGTTTATATTTATATATATTTTTAAATTAAAAAGTGAGTTTTTTATTTAAAAAAAATAATATAATACTATTAATGAGCGTCTGAATGTTGTTTCTCACTTCTTAATGATGATGGCCAAATGTAGTTTTGACCTTGTTCGATAGCAGTAGCCGAGAATATTTCATATTGAGTTGAGATATCACTTTGTCACAGATTCAAACTTCTGCCTTGTATATATATCTCACCTAATAGGCCTTAGCACTAAAAGTGATATGATACAAAGACAGAAAAAGAAGAGTTTAAAAACTAGGTATTGGACAAATCTAATACAAATGAAAAACCAAGTAAATAATTTAAATTCATGTTAACATAATAACAGTTTAAATATGTTAAAGAAGAAAATTATAATTTTAAACTCCAAAATAGTGTATTCAACTTCAAAGGGTTATTAATTCAGCAACACAAACTGCAAAAAACAAAAGAAAAAAATCATTAGTTGCATAAATAAAACTTCAATATGCCTTAAAAAAATTATTTAAAACAAATACCAAAATGCTTCTGTCAGTATGAAATTATCAAAATGCTTAAAAAATCATTAACATCAAAATGCTTGCAAAAAAAAATTACAAGTGTGTATTTTGAAGTCATTGTAAATGTAACTATAATTATGTCACTATAATTATGCATCACTATAATTTTATATCAAAATTTATTGTAATTATATCATCGTAACTTTTCTTGCACGTAAGATAATTACTAGCTTAATTTATCTTGTTGTGATTGTAATTATCAAACTTTTAATCTAGTGTATAACTTATGATAAATAATTATACATAAGCAAGTATCTAACTTAATGCTTGCAAAATGCTTGCATAATTCAAAATTCTGCATAAATCAAAAGCAGAGTACATTTATTCAAAATGCTTGCAAATTATATGGTTGTATCAAAATTATGATAAATGATTATACCTTTGTTTGGCTAAGTTGATCAACTTCAACACTATCATTGATTTGTTCCATCAGAAAATCCGAGGTTTTCTTGACAAATGACTTCACGCTTATCTTCATCTTCATCAGTGTCAATATCATATTCTACAAAAATAATATGTCATATATCTTAAGCTAGTATATCATTTTATAATCTATAAGTCGTTATTCTAAAATTAAAATTCATACCTACAAAACCATGTAGCCAACTACGTGCGCACATGAGAGCTTGAACGGTGTCATCTTTTAAAGAGTTTCTATACTTGTTCAAAACTCGAGCACCAATGCTAAAAGCAGACTCTGATGCCACCGTGGTTATTGGAATGCTTAATACATCACAAGCCATATTTGCAAGATCGGAACATCTTCGACTTCTCTCCTTCCAAAAAACTAATATATCAAAACCAATTGATGGTGGAAGCCTTTGCTCGGCTAAATAAACATCAAGTTCGGATGTTCTCGCGACACTAACTGTTTGGCTTTTATACTCTTCAAATTTCTACAGATATATTAAGAATTATGAAATTTTTACAAATTTAAAAAATGTTAATGAAACTATGAAAGTGCTAAAAAATTTTGATAAAATTAACTTACTTCACATACATACAATGATTGTGGCATCTTTGCATTGCTTCCTCCATATGAAGAATTAACTTGTTGTGAATGTCTTGTATTAGAAGAATGACTACCATTTTTAACATATTCTTCATACAATCTTGACAAATCATTCTTGACAATCTTCAAATTCTCTTCAGCTTCTAATGGATCAACTTGTTTATATGCAAATGACAAAAAATTTAGCTTCTTGGTTGGATCTAATATAGCTCCAAAGGCTAATATTTTTAAACATGTGGTGAATGAATGAATTTTTGGAGTGGATAATATTAATAAATGGATTGGGCTTTAAGCCTTTAACAGTTTAACGTCATTATGAAGTTTCATATTTAATTATTTATATTATTTTTTAATAAAAAACATGAACACCTTAACGCATTTTTTTTAATATTTATTTTTAATTTTTAATTTTTATAAAATAAACGAGCTACCCGCAACCCGATCGGGCTAGCCCGGTTAGAGTTCGGGCTTCAACGGGCCTAGCTAAAATAGCCCGGATGATAAATGGGCCCTAATTTTTTTGTCCAAGCCCTTTATTTTTTCGAGCTTTTCGGCCAAACCCAGTAGGCCCGACCCATTTTGCCAGCTCTAGTCTTAATAACATAGGATCAAAAATATTACAAAACTTGTCGTCTTTAACCACTTCACACCTATTAGCATTGTTCTTGAGAGACTATGGTATGTTATGTCCTTCTTTGAACCTATTTGCCTCTACATACCTCGTGCTTGAGAAATTGTGGTCTGTTATGTTCTTCCTTAAACCACTTCACACATATATGTTTCATGCTTCAAGACTATTATATTATGGCCCAAGTCCATTGAGTATTAATACTCTCGACTCATTTGCCTTCCACCTTGTAAGACACACAAAAGACTAAAAATAATTTAAACGAGATCGAACATGTGTCAGATGTAGGGACGAGCTCGTCATGTCCCCTATATTATATGAGATGAGTCATCAAATATGATATCTAACAAAAAAAAAGATCATCCTCATCATAACCGTGTAATCTAAAGTCAAACGAAGTTACATAAGCTCATCTCTTTATATTAAAGGAATAAGTCATCCATCATACTTCTTAATGGATCAAAATAATTTTGAGGTCTTTCACAAGGGTGCTGAAGCTATATATACTTATCAATATGATTACATCATCCATCACTTTTTCATATATTAGAATCCTAAAACTTTTTGCTTAACTTATTGCAAACAGATCACTCTTAGTAAAAAAATCACATTATAATCCATATCTATTGGTTAATTATGTGAATAAATGTTTTTAATTCGTTTAAATTTAGAATAATAGATACATACGTAGTTCTGACAAAAATTTAAAAATATCCATGTGAATTTAATAGTGGGAGGGGATATATTCACCCAAAATAAAAGTGATAGAGTACTTCTCACTACCATGATATGATACAAACAAATTTCCACTTGGTTTGGTGACTGATGAGAGATTATGGAATATGAGCCTATTTGTTTTACTTTTAACTTTTTATTTATTTTTTAAATAAGTTTTATAAAATTGTTTTTCAAAATACTACAAGTTTTTATATATATGTTTTTTTTAATTATAAGATTAATTTTAATATCGTATAATCAAAATATAATTAAAATTGTAATCTTTTAAAAAGTTATATTTTAAAAATAATTTTCATAAAAAACTATTTAAAATAAATTTAAAATTAAGTGATTTTTTAAAAATAAATTTTTATTTGAATTTTTTATAAAAAGTTTTTTTTTAATTTTTTTTCAACAAAATTTTATTATACTATAAAAATCATAAAAAAATAAAGTAAAATAAAAGGGCAAAACATCCCTATATTATATGATACCACCACCTCCTTATCTTATAATTAGATTTTTAAAATAGTAATAGTACTCCTACTATTTTAAAATATTCTTTGTAAGCGCAACGTGCAACCATGTGCCCCTCGCGCTATTTATCAACGCCTCTTACTTTCTTCTCTCTCAACTCACCACCATTTTCACACAAATGGCAACCACGACACTGTTCATCGCTATTCTCTTTCTCTTCACACTCTCCTTCACCACAACCGTTAGATCCGTAAGAATCACCATCTCTTTCATTTCTTCTTCATCTTTTCCGATCTTCATTTTCAAATCATCAATACTAACAATTTATCTCTCATTGAATACAGGACTCCGACGATGATTGCGTCTACACGGTCTACGTTCGAACCGGTTCGGTTTTAAAAGGAGGAACCGACTCGAAGATCGGAATCAAACTATACGACAAATTCGGTTACTACATCTACATCAAGAACCTCGTTCCATGGGGCGGGTTAATGGGTTCGGGTTACAACTACTTCGAACGCGGTAACCTCGATATCTTCAGCGGAAGAGGGCCTTGCTTAGACGGACCCGTTTGTGCCGTTAACGTAACGTCTGCCGGTGACGGTGCACATCACGGTTGGTACTGTAACTATGTGGAAGTTACTACTACTGGGCCCCACGTATCGTGTTCGCAGGAGCAGTTCACGGTGGAGCAGTGGCTCGCGACGGATACCAGTCCGTATCAGCTGTGGGCCGTAAAGAATCTTTGTAGTTATAAGTTGGATCAAGCCCGGCCCAGAATCGGTTCATCTGATCACGATAAAATCGGATCTGAGTTTTCTATTTTGAATGCTGGCGCGTGAGACTTGGTTTCAAGTTTGTTATGTTTTTGTTGTGTGTTAGTTATTTGAATTGGATTCGGGTTTTACTGTCGATAACCCGTTTGTTTCCTAGTGTTTTCAATAATGATTTTACCTTGATTGCGAATGATAAATGCTTTTTAATGGTAACATATTTTTTTTTTTCATTATTTAAATTTGAACAAGTAAAATGTTACAGAATCAAATCTACATCCCTATATTTGATTATCAATTGAGATGACTTAAAATGACTTAACTTAAGAACTTAAGGATGTCAACATATTTTGTGCATGCACTTTAATACTGGAATAAGTATTGATTGTGAAGTTTTAAAGTTAAGAAGTATGTATCTTAAATATTGGTTAGGTAAAGCTTATAGTCTCGAAATTCTGCATTGGGATTCAATAATCATCTGTTGGACGCTACTTCACGCTATTTCATTTAGTAATTTTCTTAAAAAATTCACATGGTTCTGGATGACATACATTAGTATTTCTTTTTTAAGCATAGATACGAAATCAAATTGTATTTTCATCGTGTCTTTCTTTCTTATACGGAGTGGAAAAAGTTTTCTCCTAGGGCATAATAATGTCTCCTAAGTGGACGTCAATCGTCTCAAAGTTCTTACACTTTCTTCACAATATTCTCTTTCTCTTTATACTCTCACAAGAGAATTGATTAAACCCACCATTAAGATTTTTATTGTAATGTATTATTCATTTCATTTGAGTTGCATTTAGTATTAATTTAGTTTTGTATTTGATTTTTTTTTAGTTTGAAGGTGTGCATAAATCAAAACTGAATTTTCATTATAACATAATTGACATTGGAATAATTTTTTATTAAGAATTAGTTAGAAATTTTTCTTTCTCTTTCATCTTTATCATCTTCATCTTCTTCTTTTCTTGTGCACCAATAATTAGTATATAGAATCTGGTACGGATCCATAGGAAACACCAAGAGAAATACGAGTGAACGTGAGGCGTATGTGATTAATTTCGTTTCTTGAATTCATGTTAAATTTACAATCGAAATCGTAATAGAATCACATTTCTTGATTGTCATACCCTAAATTTTGATCATAAGATCCCACATCATTTATATTTCATTAGCATCATATGTGTGTGTATTTTTATGCATCACTAACCCATTTAGAGATACAAAGATTGTTGTTTGTTTCATTTGATTACAAATTAGGGTTTTTGAGCCTTAAAAGAGACTCAGGCAAAAGATCAATCAAGAATGGGCATAATCTTCAACTTACCCATTCTCTCATTCATCCATGAAGACCAAGAACTCTCATTCACTAATTATCAAGTACAAGATTGCCTCATTTCAAAATCAACAAGCATCAAGATCCTCAGTGCACCAAAATTAGGGTTTTGACCTAATTAACACCTGGGTTGACTTTTTGAGTAAGGCATGATCCAAGACCTCAAGATAAGTTTCAAGGACATTAAATGCCTCGTATTAGTCCATTCATATGATTGTATTAATCCAAATAACTTGATTCATAAACAAGGCAAGAATTCAAATTCATTTGGGCCACAAACTAGGATTTTGATGAAAAGCCAATTGTACATTTGACTTTTAAGCAAAGACATGATCTCAAACCTTGGGATATGATTCAAGACATTCAAAGACATCTTTGGATTCCATCTGTGATGTTTAATTTAGCCCATGGATTTGATTTCATAAAGGATCACAAAGTTCAAAATTCATCTGATACAAAAAGTCAACTGTAGTCAAAATCAAGTTTGACTTTTGGAGTTTTTGGTCAAACATGGCCTCTTCAAGTCAAGAAAAATGATAATATATGATTTGAATCATGATTGATCAAGAAAAATCAAGAAAAGAGAGGTTACTTGTAAAGAGGGCAACCATGAAGAAATGAAAAATTTTCAAAGTTATGGGAAAAACCCTAATTTGATGCAAACTTTGCAAAAGCATAACTTCCAAACCAAGCAACCATTTTCTTTGATCCAAAGATCAAATTGAAGAGCTTGCTACATACTACAACTTTGTCACTTAGGGTGGACTTGCAAAAAGTGCATAAATTTTGAGATACAAGACCGTGAAGTTAGGGTTTCAATACTTTTTGAACTTTGACACTTAGAAAATTTTGGACAGAATCTGTTTTGTGTTTTAGCCAACTTTGAGGTCATTTTTCTCCATGATCCACAATGATTCAAGACAAACCTCAAACATCAAACTTAAAGTACATTATACCAGCTTTTCAAAATGATCAAGAGTATCAAAACCCCTTACTTGAGCAAGGAGATATGAAGTGCACAACATGCCTTGATGAAGCTATTTTGGTAAGGCAGATTTGGCATTACTTGTGGTACACGATTTTTTGAGTCCAAGTGTGATGATCACACAATCCTAATTCAACAATAATCTGAACGAATCATCTAAAACCTACAAGGTAGAGCCACTAAGTCAAGAGGAATCCCTTTGAAATGATGAAACATCATCACTTAAGCCTTGAATTCAAGAGGCATTTATGTAGAATAGTGCATTGTCAAAGAAACCACTCCCACTAGTCAAGATGCACTCTTAAACAATAATAAAAACATCTGCAGAATGTGGAATTGGTTAAAAGGAAAGCTAGGCTAGTGGAAGAGATTATGTACCTTGAGATATCAGTAATGATACATTGCCAAAACCATTGAACATTGAGCTTATCCTTCAACCATCATTATTCCTCCAAAACAAACTTGTTCCCCTATAAATAGAGGCCACATTTGATCATTTCGAGGACACCAAAACAATTACAACACTTGTTTTCTCAGTCTTCCTCTTTCACTTCAAATTTTCAAAATTCCAAAGAGTGAGAATCGAGTTTTCAAAACCAGAGCTTTTCCAGTTAAACTTTTGATTCAAACACTTCACATACATCATGTAGAAGTGATCCAAATACTTAAACACTTTCTATAACATTAAATTCATCAAGATCACATCTCGCCTTGATCAAGCTGCAGTTAGATTCGAGCTAAGAAATCCAGGAGGTTCCAACTTGTTTTAAGCATCTCAACACAACCCTTGAGGTCTAAGGAAGTTGTCGAGATCATCAAATCACATTTGTAACACCTCCAATTGATGATTCAATTTCCTCTTGCAAGGTAAGCCTGAACCTTTCAAACTTTATGATTCATGCATCATAAATGTTATTTCAAGTTACTAATGTGTTTCTGGTAGTTCCTAGATCATTTACCCTCAATCAATTGTCATTTATATTACGTGTATAGGATTTTATTATAGTTTTTGCAAACTAGGGTTCATCTGGTTTGTGCTTGATAATTCACTCTATACTTAATTTAAATAAATTTGAGTAATACCATTCAATTCCTTGTTAAAAATCCATCAACTTTCATGTTTACATTATTCAAATTGGTTGCGTATTAAGAGAGTTAGGATTTCAAAAAAAATCTGATGAAGGTGATGAAGACGCCAATGGTGGTGGCACCATTCTTAGAATTTTATTGGTTTTAAAATATATATTTATGAGTGTGGTTTGATACACTGATGTATCACCATCCCAATGATTAAGACGTGTGTTTAGGGGGCTTGTGAGTGTGAGGTCTAGGGTTCAAATCCCCCTTGCCCCATACCTTTTGCCCTTTTATTTTTTTCATTATTTTCAACTTGAAACAACATATTATTCAACGGGTGCATTATTTTATCACATGCAGCACCTAGCTCAAATGGTAGAGTTTTGAGTCCATCACCCCAAGGGCATGGGTTCAACTCCTAGTGAGACCATTCCTTAATTTTAAACACTATTTTTCTTGTTTTTCTTCACAAATTCACACAATTTTTTTCATATAGCAAAATTTATTTTTTAATTGAATTTTTACACACTTCTTATTCATATGTCATATTTTGTGAATATACTAAAAAATGTCAAAATAATATTTTATTTAACACATTTTTTTAGGTTGGAAAATAGTCCATTTTAAAAGTATTTTTATACTTTTAATGAATTTCTTTTGATTTTTCTCTTAACCTAATTGATCATAGGTGCTTACATGATCATGATACACTTTGTTGAGTCTTGTTCAAATGTAAATTACATGTTTATCTTGACTTACTCATCATTTACACCATATTTAAATAATTCCTTTTTAAAAATACCTCTGATTAAATCTTTCATTAGAGTTTCACCTAGATTTAAATTTTTTTCTCAAAACTTTCTAAAATTTAAAACTCTTTTGGCCTCTATTAGACTATAAGTCCTTTCCCTCCTCCTCAAAACTTTCTTCAATTTCTAAAATCTTTTAATTTTTCAAATCTCAATCTTCGACTTTCATCAAACACAACCCTAGTGGCATTCAAATTCAAAACTCTTTAGGCCTCTATCAGAGTGTAAGATCTATCACATTTTTAATTTAACCATGATTAGACATGAGCCTCTATAAGAGTGTAAGACCCATCACATTTTTAAGTCAACCATGCTTAGACATGGGTCTCTATAAGAGTGTAAGACCCTCCACTTTAAATTCATGTATATATTTGTCATGTACTTGTCTATACTTGTCATGTACTTGTCTATATTAAGTTTATCTTGACATTTATAAACACCTCATCCTTAGTTTAGACTTAGTTCAAACATTAAAGTTTACTCAACTACAACTTAGTTCAAACCCTAGTTTCCCTTGGATGAAGTCAACTTCATCACAACCTCCTCTTGGGATTCATACAAGGACCCTTAGGCTTCTTAAAAGCATCATAGCATCCATATTTGGTTTCATACAATATACCATCAGCTCAAAACTCCCCCCAGTTAAGTCAGCCTCCTCTCAGGCAAACAGACTTTTTTAGCTTCTCATCTTGGGCTTTGAACAAGATACAAATAAACTTTTTAGCTTCACATCTTAGGCTTTGAATAAGATACAAATATTTTAGCTTCAACATCTTGGGCTTTGAACAATATACTCAAATGAATCAACTTCTCCTTAGAGATGAGACATTGAGTCATCTCTGCAGGAAGATATCTTTTC